AAGACTTAAATGTTAGACCTAAAACCATAAAAATCCTGGAAGAAAATCTAGGGAATACCACTCAGGACATAGGCATGGGCAAAGTACTTCAAGACTAAAACACCAAAAGCAATGCAACAAAAGCCAAAATAGACAAATGGGATCTAATTAAACTAAAGATCTTCTGCACAGCAAAAGAAACTACCATCGGAGTGAGCAGGCAACCTACAGAATGGAAGAAAATTTTTGCAATCTACCCTTCTGACAAAGGGCTAACATCCAGAATCTACAAATAACTTAAACAAATTTACAAGAAAAAAATAACAACAACCTCATTGAAAAGTGGGCAAAGGATATGAATAGATACTTCTCAAAAGAAGACATTTATGCAGCCAACAGACAGAAGAAAAAATGCTCATCATCACTGGCCATCAGAGAAATGCAAATCAAAACCACAATGAGATACCATCTCACACCAGTTAGAGTGGCGATCATTAAAAAGTCAGGAAACAACAGATGCTGGAGAGGATGTGGAGAAATAGGAACGCTTTTACACTGTTGGTGGGACTGTAAGTTAGTTCATCCATTGTGGAAGACAGTGTGGTGATTCCTCAAGGATCTAGAACTAGAAATACCATTTGACTCAGCGATCCCATTACTGGGTGTATACCCAAAGGATTATAAATCATGCTACTATAAAGACACATGCACATTTATGTTTATTGTGGCACTATTCATAATAGCAAAGACTTGGATCCAATCCAAATGTCCATCAATGTTAGACTGGATTATATACACCACGGAATACTATGCAACCATAAAAAAGGATGAGTTCATGTCCTTTGCAGGGACATTGATGAAGCTGGAAACCATCATTCTGGGCAAACTATTGCAAGGACAGAAAACCAAACACTACATATTCTCACTTATAGGTGGGAAGTGAACAATGAGAACATTTGGATACAGGGCAGGCAACATCACACACTGGGGCCTGTCGTGGGGTGGTAGTGTGGGGGCAGGGAGAGGGATAGCATTAGGAGAAATACCTAATGTAAATGATGAGTTAATGGGTGCAGCAAACCAACATGGCACGTGTATACCTATGTAACAAAACTGCATGTTGTGCTCATGTACCCTATAACTTAAAGTATTAAAAGAAAAACTTGCTCTATCATAGTTGTATGTATTTTTGAGGTACATGTGACACTTTTATACATATGTATAACTGGGATATACATCACCTCAAACATTTAAGGACAATTTTTGAAGACAGAGGATTTCACAGTACGAGTTAGGAAGCACCTCTGCCTGTGGTCATGTCCCCTCTCTCATAAGTAATTTTTCACAGCTTCTTTCCTTTTATTCTGTTTAGTAACTGGGGTGCTTCTTAGTGTGAATACAAAGGGAGGTGGGGGTCAGGACCAACATGCACATACAGGTATGTCCTCAGTGTCTGCGTCTCAGGTAGCACTTTTCCAAAATGACATTCAAATAATTGTGAGGTTAAAATTCTATATATTTTTTTTGTTTCTAGGATTTTAAACCCTAAATTTGGCCTACTATCAAGTTCATGACCATAAATGGAACTTGTATGTCATAGAGATTAGCAAGTTAGTGGTTTCTTTGATTTATGTCCTATGAATCAGTATTTTTTTTAGATTGCTAATAAATTTAAAAAAAATAAAGAAACGTTTTTAAATTTTTGAATTAATTTCTAAATTTACCTTTTAATCAGTGAATTCTCACTTGATTGAGCTGTGGCCAGGGAGTGTCATCTCTGATAGCCACTCTGTGGAGGTTGTCGACATGAGCTTTGTATCCCTCTTTGTGACTTTTTGTAAGTTTTCCATGGCACTGGAGAAGAATGTGTGTGCTTCAGTTGCTGGGTGAATAAAATGTCCCTAATATGCTGCTTGTGAAGTGCATATTAATTAGGATAAGGCTGAAGTGCCCAAACAAAGAGACCCAATGCAGGTCTGAAGCCCATTGCATGTGATTGCTCCCCACGGCACTGACCCACGGCCGCAGGGCTGGGTGGGTGCCGCTCCACATGGCCAGCCAGCCTAGGACCGAGGCCGTGGGTTCGGCCGCCTTCACCATGTGGTGTCCCGGGCTGTCCTCTGAGCATCTCTGCTCCAGGAGAGTGGGAGCGTGTCTTCCTCACTGATTTTCCTCCAGACAGTGCCCAGCACACAGGAAGCTTTCAGTAAGTATTTGTTAAGAACACGAATCAATGAATGAAGAAAAGATGGCCCCTTAGTCATCATAGCAGCAACATTTAATAAATGCCTTTTTTTAAGTTAAACATTTTTTTTTCAATTAGCAGGACATCATATGCTTCAACATTTAAAAGATACAAAATAACATCATCACCATCATCATCATCACTATTATTTTGGTAGATTTCTCAGCCTGCCAGTTCCCTTTCCCAGAGGCATCTGCTGTTAACAGCTTATTTGTGTTCTCGAGATGTACTTCATACATACACAAGCATACGTGCATATGTGCAGACTGGTTTCCAAAAAGTTTTTCTATCACAGTAAAATGGTTCAACTTCAACCTCGTTTATTCCATTATTTCTGAATTCACGTGGAGAACGTATTTGGTGTAATTTATTGAGAGGACATTAGGCGGCAGTATAGTATCACAAGGAGGAGGCTGGGGCTGTCTACACATTTTTTTTGGCCTGGCACCATGGCTCACACCTGTAATTCCAGCACTTTGGGAGGCCGAGGAGGAGGTTTGCTTGAGCCTAGGAGTTCAAGACCAGCCTGATCAACATAGCAAGACCTCTAGCTACTGGAGAGTCTGAGGCTAGAGAAGCTGCAGTGAGCTGTGATTGCACCACTGCACTCCAAAGGAAGAGAGAGGTGTTGTGTGGCTATTACATATCTTGCCATATATTTCCAAGTTTTGCTATTATAAATGATGACTCAATCCCTTGAGTCATAAGTCATAATGCCTTGAGCCTGAGTCAGGAGGGAACTGGGTGCTTATACACTGGGTCTTGTCAGTTATTGTTGAGTGTTTTTCCCTCTGCATATCTGACCTGCTGCACACTGAAGTTCTTGAAAGAGCCTTTGGGCCCAGAGATGAGATATAGGCAGTTAGATCTTACTGGAGTTGGTGCTGGAAAGCAAGGATCTGAGGGCCATTGGGGGAGGGTCACTGACACCCTAGCTCTTGGAATCTTAGAGTTTTGGAACAGAAAGGTAGCTCAGAGCTATTCTAGTCTACTCCCTCCCTACTCTCGTGGAGGTGGGATGTGTTTCCCTGAGTACTGCACTCCCATCGTGAAGAGGAGGCTCAGACAAGAAAACATTTTGCAGGCCCCATTTTCCTCCCAAGTTCTGTCAAGAGTGAGAGATTGTGCCTTGTCATATGTGCATTTTTAAGGTAAGTTTGGAAGCCTCTCACTTATGAATTAAAAACTGAAAAGTCATTATTATAATACATACATATATTTTATGTATGTGTGTGTGTGTGTGTATATATATATATGTGTGTATATATATATATATATTTTTTTTTTCCTCAGAGACCAGGTCTTGCTCTGTTGCCCAGGCTGGAGTGCAATGTTGCCATCATGGCTGAATGCCTTGCACATATCTTGCCTTCTCACCTTTTCAGGCAAGCCCACACTCATCTCAAAGAAAATACTTTAAAGGTCATATTAAACAGGGTCTTTCTGCTCTTACTACTTCTCCGTGTCATTTGTCTTTTTTCCACACACATTCCTTTTCCTCCTCTGCATTCCTGCGGTTGTTCTCATTTCACTAGTTGGTACAGAGCACCCCATCCTGCCCTTATCTGTGGGGAGCTCTCCAGCCACTCCTGCTGGAATGGGCACATTCTACAAAGGCCTGGGCCTGGACCTCGGGTCCCTTTGCCTCCCTATGCTTGGCACAGTGACTGGCAAATCCAGATCTCATTCATGTTGGATAAAATAACTTGCCTGCCAATATTTTAGACCTCCTGAGTGTTACAAATACGCAACGGCCCCAGAAATCAAGCATCTGTCTGCTGAGCAGTTAAGCAACAAGACTATCTATAATCATAGACTGTGCGGGGCCAATGGCAATTGCTCCAGAGTTTAATAACTACAGCTATTAATTGGGCCTGGCCCTCTCCCTCTGGAGAGTCAGTCTTCTTCCTAAGCTCCTACACTCTCCTACACAGCCACAGTGCCCTCATCGAAACCAGAAATTTAGCACTGACACAACACTGCCATGCAGTCCACGCATCCGAAGTTTCACCGACTGTACCAGTCCAGTCTTTCAGAGCAAAAACAAAGCAGAACCAAAAATGTCTTTCCTTTTCCCTCTTCCTTTCTGCCCTAGGACTGCCTCCTGGATCACGCACTGCATTTAGTTGTCCACAATGTGGAAGAGTTCATTGGGCTTTCTGTATACGTCACGGCCTTGCCATTTTTGAAGAGTACGAGCCAGTTACTTTGTAGAAGCCCTCTCAGTTTGAGCCTGTTTGATGTTTATTCATGATTAAATACAGATTATACATTTTTGGTAATAATGCCACAGAAGTGATGTATCTTGTCAGGAGGCCTGTGATGTCAATATGTCTCCTTGTTGGTGATGTTAACTTTGATCACTTATTTAAGACAGTGTCTGCCAGGTTTCTTGACTTTGGTACATGCACTATTTAAATCAGTTCGTGAGATAATTATTATTATCTTCATTTTACAGATGAGGAGACTGAGGCAAAAAGACTTGCCGTGGCTGGACACTGTCTCACGCCTATAATTCCAGGGAGGCCAAGGCAGGCAGATCGCCTGAGCTCAGGAGTTTGATACCAGTCTGGACAACATGGTGAAACCCTTTCTCCACCAAAAATATAAGAAATTGGCCAGGCCTGGTGGTGCTACTTGGGAGGCTGAGGTCTCTGCTACTTGGGAGGCTGAGGTGGGAGGATTGCTTGAGCCTTGGAAGTCAAGGCTGCAGTGAGCCGAAATCACACAACTGTACTTTAGCGTGGGTGACAGAGTGAGACCCTGTCTCAAAAAAAAAAAAAAAAAAAAAAAAAAGACTTGCTGAAAGTCATGCTCACAAGCCAGGATCCTAACCCAGTGGGCCTGGCTCCAGGCAAGTACTCCTAGTGACTGCATAGGAGGCAGAGTGCTGCAACTGGGCCTGGAGGAGGTTGGCCTTGAAAGAGGGGCAACATGGGTAGACAGAAAGGTCAATGTGGTGCTCCTAAGCCTGGAGTTCCTCTGTCAGTGTCTGCTTGGCCATAGTGTCCCCTGGACCCTGGCATTCCTGCAGGGGTGACTTCTGCTGAGGATGGGCATGAGATGTGGTTGGCTTGAGGTTACTACAGCTCCGAGGCCCCATTTTGTGTCAAAGTTCCTTGTAACTTTTGAGGGGTCATGATGTGCCCCCAATTTTGAGCTTTGCCACACCTTAGATCATGTATTTTGGAATGTCATGTAGCAAGAGCTGACCCTTGAGCCTCCAGTCCCCTGCTCTTCCCGCATTGCTGACCCCATAGTTTGCCCAGACTGGGGCTGTCCTTGGCTGTGCCCTCCTATTCCTGGCTTCACACAGCTCTGCTCCTGATTTCTGCTCAGTCACGTTTTCTCTGCTTCACAAAAACACTTCTGGATTCACGCTGCCCTGGTTGGGATTTCCCAGACGCGGAGCCTCAGGAAGGAGGGAGCTGGGGTATTTATACACTAGGTCCTGTCAGTCATTGTTGAGTGTGAATCCCTCTGTATGTCTGACCTACTGCATTTGCAGGTTCTGGCATAGAGATGAGATGCTGGTGGTTGGAGCTGATTGAAGTTGGTGCTGGAAAACTAGGGTCCAAAGGCCATAGTGGGGAGAGTCACTGACATCCTAGCTCATGGAATCTTAAAGTTTTGGAGCAGAAAGGGAGCTCAGAGTTATTCTAGCCTACTCCCTCCCTTCTCTCATGGGCCAGGATGTGCTTCTTGAGCACTGCGTTCCCATCATGAAGAGGAGGCTCAGACAGGAGAACATCCTGCAGACCCCATTTTCTCTCTGAATCTGTCAAGAGGGAGAGACCCTGACATAAGTGCATTTTATTAGGTAAGTTTGGAATCTTCTCGTTTATGAATTAAATGCAGAAAAGTTATTATTATAATTGATAGATCTTTTTGTTTGTTTGCTTTGTTTGTTTTGAGATAGGATTTTGCTCTGTCACCCAGGCTGGACCACAGTGGTGGAATCACAGCTCACTACAACCTTGAACTCCTGGACTCAAGGGATCCTCCCACCTCAGCCTCCAAAGTATTAATAGCTAGGACCACAGGCACATGCCACTACTCCTGGCTAATTTTTTTCATTTTTTGTAGATAGGGTCTTGCTGTGTTGCCCAGGCTGGTCTCAAACTCCTGGACTCAAGCAATCTTCCTGCCTCCGTCTCCCAGAGTGACTATAGGTGTGAGCTACCATGCCAGGCCAATATATCTTAACTACTTTACTCACACTCCATTATGAACCCAAATAATATGTTTTTAAAAATACTTAAAATTTAGGAAGAAGGTGACTCTCCTCATATGAAATAAATACCAGCATGCACACACACATACACACACACTAACATGTGAATAACACGGCTCTTTCAGTAGGACATGTACTTAAATGTGCTCTGCTTCATGTTCTACCACTGTGCTTTAGCAGCTGTTTGATGGTGAGATGAAGCTCAATTTCTCTGAGTTTTACTTTTATCATGTGTAAAATGGGGATTAAAAACAATATCTACTCCATGAGTAGTGAAAAGTAAACAGTGAATGCTAGATGGTATTTTAGGAGAAGGAAGTAGACTTGTTGTACTAGGCAGCTATTGCCAAAACAGTGCTATATATCAACCAGCCCCAACTCATTGCCCCCTGGAGGTGCACTTCTGGAATGGGGGCATGAAGGGCTCTGCAGACCCTCTCCCAAGCAAAACAACCATCATTGGTGAAAATTATTGAAAAGAAACAGCCACATAAAATCTCTGAAATTCTCCTAAGGGCATCCTGCAAATGGAAAAGCATTTATTCAAGAATATTACTAAATATTGGTAAGAATGGTGGGGTCTGTGGCACTAATCCATGATCTCCTTCCTCTCCCTGCTTGAAGTTTGACTCCAGGTGGATGTGGTCAAGAAGATGGACTCCCTCCCCACCTGAGCTTCTGACTTGGGGAAATGGATTCACCATAGTAGATGGCATCTCACATCTCTCCCCAGCTCGATGTTGCAGAAGTTGTATTACAGACAAGTGTGGCCAAGAGATCCATGGCTCTCTTCTTACACCTGTGAGCACCCACTGGAGTGCAGTGGATTAAACATGACAGGGCCCATCTGGGGGCAAGTTTGAGCCTTGCCAGTTTGATATTGGGCGCTAAGTGGAGTGGCTACTATAGCAAATCTGGTGTACATTGTGCTATAAATTGGTCTTTCTGTATTGTCCTGTCATAAAGACTAGTACCTTAGGATAGAACACAGGCTTAGGACCCCATAAGACTGCTGTACAAGCCAACCCAGCAAACTGGTCAGTTACAAACCTTGCTGTAGGTCTCTGAAAAAAAAAAAACTGGATAAAGTTTCCCTCTCATCTTGTTTCATGTCCTTGGGAGCTTGACCTTGTAACCATGTGGCAGTACTCAGTACTTTCTCTTGGTCTCCACCATCCAGAGAACAGGAATTTTGGAATTCATGTCATAGTTGGCTCTAAAAATTATCTTAAGCAGTTAAAAGTCATTGAAAGCTCAAAATTGGTTACTCTAGGCCCCTTCTGGGAAGAGCAGTGGAAACTGCCCAATGCTGAAGCTTTGTGGCTAAGGCTTTGTCTGTTTCCAATGGCAGCCTTGGTTCAGGGTTCAATTCCTGGCTTAGGGAATGAGTCACTCCTTGTTTGATATCGATATGACCTTTACCATTTGTTGATTCTCCTCCCCTCCATGAACCATCTTGAATTTTCCTTTCTCTGAGCACCCGGGAGGTTATATTTGGTAAAGTTCAAAAGTCAGAAATACTGGTGATTTGGCATGACTAATGTTGGGTAATAAGAGATTTAAAAGGATTTTTTAAAAGAGCACTATGATTAAAAGTCAGCTTAATTAAAACCGCATATTCAAGCTCTAACAGCCTGGAACTCCTTGAGAAAAATAGGAGGTGCCACAGACCCTGTTTTGGGAAAATCCTCTGTTTTCCTCATGAAACCCCAGGAACTGAAAGTGGATAGATCTCTCTCAAAATCTAAGGCACTGTTCTGTTTTGCATTGTGTCATCCAACATTTTTGACTTCTGGGGATATCAGATATTACTTCACATTGCGAGAGAGATTTGGTGTGTAATGACTAGGTAGGAAATATACTTTTAGGGGTGGCTAATGGCAGTTATGGGAAGATACTCAGCTCTTTGTACGTTTGGATCAGAGAAGCATGCTCTTGGCTACCTAGAAGATATGAAAATGTCCCCATTCCCACAGTGAGAGATAAGACTCTCAGGGGGATGGACTAATCATAGAATGTGCTGATTGTGTTTGGATTGCTTTGCAATGAAACGCATGGTAAAATAATTACACTGTTGTTCTGTAGTGTTTCTCTTTTGGGGATCTAGGATCCAATATGAAAAATGGGACCTTTAATTTTGGGGATTTTTTTTTTTTTTGCCTTCCAGTTGTGCCCACTTATTAGGCTATAGAAACTGCATGCTTTCCTGGCCCTGTTCCTCCAAGGGCTCTACCCTGAAACCAGTAATCTAAGTAAGAAACTGGCAAATGAAAAACCCTACAACTACTGGATCTTTTGTCTGACTGTGCATTTATATGTGCTGTGTGTGATGTTTATATATGAAAGAGCTCTGATTAATTGGCTTAAAAATACTAAGTGCTTAAATCAAATATTTTGTCAGAAAAATAAAAATTGTAATGACTTTTAGTAGGTTACTGAAGAAACAGTTTTACATGCAAGGTGTGTAAGGAAAGTGAAATGGGTTTTTGGTAAGAGATTATAAGAAGGCAATGGAATATGGGTTTTCTTGGGCCTAGTTTAGATGGCTAAAGGATTATTTTAAGTTAGGTAGGATAAAGTTGAAGGTTTGAACAAGTTGTGGAAAGTTTGTGAAAAATTAATCTTGTAAAAATTCTCTGTATGAACATATTGGCCAAAGTAAAAGGCGTATTCCTTAGTTTTTCCATAAATTGAACACAACAGGTTTTTCTTAGAGCACTGATCTGTTCTTTCACAAAAATTTGTAAAGGATTATAAAAGGTTTATGAGAATCTTATTTTATGGTCAAATATTAAAATTAGGTAGATTTGTCTATAAGGTTTTCTTAAGAATTGGATTTAACATAAGAGTGCACTAATCTAAAGGTGAAATTGGCTTATTTGGTATAAAAGTCATACAGAAACTATTATCAAATATGAAGTGCTGTTTGGCTTTCTTTGGGCTATATTTGTATAAACATATTATTGGTATGTGTTCCAAAATTATGGGAAACTCCTATAATTCCAATATGACTTAGTGTATGTTATTAATAGTTATATTTGTTATGTAAAATTGTTGTATGCCATAGAAGTAACCAAATTCCTTTTTAAAAATTTTATTATACTTTAAGTTCTGGGGTACACGTGCAGAACATGCAGGTTTGTTACATAGGTATACATGTGCCATAGTAGTTTGCTGCACCCATCAACCCATCATCTACACTGGTTATTTCTCCTAATGCTATCCCTCCTCTAGCCCTCCCACCTCTTGACAGACCCCATTGTGTGATGTTCCCCTCCCTAGGTCCATGTGTTCTCATTGTTCAACTCCCACTTATGAGTGAGAACATGCGGTGTTTGGTTTTCTGTTCCTGTGTTAGTTTGCTGAGAATGATGGTTTCCAGCTTAATCCATGTCCTTGCAAAGAACATGAACTCATCCTTTTTCATAATTGCATAGTATTACATGGTGTATATGTGCCACATTTTCTTTATCCAGTCTATCTTTGATGGGCAGTTGGGTTGGTTCCAAGTCTTTGTTATCATGAATAGTGCTGCAATAAACACATGTATGCACATGTCTTTATAGTAGAATGATTTATAATTTTTGGGGTACATACCAAGTGATGGGATTGCTGGGTCAAATGATATTTCTGGTTCTAGATCCTTGAGGAATCACCACACTGTCTTCCACAATGCTTGAACTAATATACATTCCCACCAACAGTTAAAAACATTCCTATTTCTCTACATCCTCTCCAGCATCTGTTGTTTCCTAATTTTTTAATGATCACCATTCTAACTGGAGTGAGATGGTATCTCATTGTGGTTTTGATTTGCATTTCTGTAATGATCAGTGATGATGAGCTTTTTTTCATGTTTGTTGGCTGCATAAATGTCTTCTTTTGAGAAGTATCTGTTCATATCCTTTCCCCACTTTTTGATGAGGTTGTTTGTTTTTTTCTTGTCAATTTGTTTAAATTCCTTTAGATTCTGGATATTAGCCCTTTGCCAGATGGATAGATTGCAAAAAATTTCTCACATTCTGTAAGTTGCCTGTTCACTCTGATGATAGTTTCTTTTGCTGTGCAGAAGTTCTTTAGTTTAATTAGATCCTATTTATCAATTTTCGCTTTTGTTGCTTTTGCTTTTTGTGTCATGAAGTCTTTGCCCATGCTGTGCCCTGAATCGTATTGCCTAGGTTTTTTTTTAGGGTTTTTATGGTTTTAGGTTTTATGTTTAAGTCTTTACTCTACCTTGAGTTAATTTTTGCCCATGCCTGTGCCCTGAATCTTATTGCCTAGGTTTTTTTTTTTAGGGTTTTTATGGTTTTAGGTTTTATGTTTAAGTCTTTACTCTACCTTGAGTTAATTTTTGTGTACGGTGTAAGAAGGGGGTCCAGTTTCAGTTTTCTGCATATGGCTAGCCAGTTTTCCCAACACCATTTATTAAATAGGGAATCCTTTTCCCATTGCTTGTTTTTGTCAGATTTGTCAAAGATCAGATGATTGTAGATGTGTGGTATTATTTCTGAGGCCTCTGTTCTGTTCCATTGGTTTATATATCTGTTTTGGTACCAGTACCATGCTGTTTTGGTTACTGTAGCCTTGTAGTATAGCTTGTAGTCAGGTAGCATGATGCCTCCAGCTTTGTTCTTTTTGCTTAGGATTATCTTGGCTATACAGGCTCTTTTTTGGTTCCATATGAAATTTAAAGTAGTTTTTTCTAATTCTGTGAAGAAAGTCTTTGGTAGCTCGATGGGGATATCATTGAGTCTGTAAGTTACTTTGGACAGTATGGCCATTTTCATGATATTGATTCTTCCTATCCATGAGCATGGAATGTTTTTCCATTCGTTTGTGTCCTCTCTTATTTCCTTGAACAGGTTTGTAGTTCTCCTTGAACAGGTCCTTCACATCCCTTGTAAGTTGTATTCCTAAGTATTTTATTCTCATTGTAGCAATTATGAATGGGAGTTCACTCATGATTTGGCTCTCTGTTTGTCTGCTATTGGTGTATAGGAATGCTTGTGATTTTTGCACATTGATTTTGTATCCTAAGACTTTGCTGAAGTTGCTTATCAGCTTAAGGAGATTTTGGGCTGAGAAGATGGGGTTTTCTTTTTCTTTTTTCTTTCTTTTTTTTTTTTTTTTTTTTACAAGGAGTTTCACTCTTGTTGCCTAGGCTGGAGTGCAAGGGCACCATCTTGGCTCACTGCAACCTCTGCCTCCTGGGCTCAAGCAATTCTCCTGCCTCAGCCTCCTGGATAGCTGGGATTACAGGCATGTGCCACCATGCCTGGCTAATTTTGTATTTTTAGTAGAGATGGGGTTTCTCCATTTTGGTCAGGCTGATCTCAAACTCCCAACCTCAGGTGATCTGCCCACTTTGGCCTCCCAAACTGCTGGGATTACAGGTGTGAGCCACCGTGCCTGGTGATGATGGGGTTTTCTAAATATACAATCATGTCATCTGCAAATAGAGATAATTTGACTTCCTCTCTTCCTATTTGAATACCCTTTATTTTTTTCTCTTGCCTGATTGCCCTGGCCAGAACTTCCAATACTATGTTGAATAGGAGTGGTGAGAGAGGGCATTCTTGTCTTGTGCTAGTTTGCAAAGGGAATGCTTCCAGCTTTTGCCTATTCAGTATAATATTGGCTGTGGGTTTGTCATAAATAGCTCTTATTATTTTGAGCTATATTCCATCAATACCTAGTTTATTGAGAGTTTTTAGCATGAATGGGTGTTGAATTTCATTGAAGGCCCTTTCTGCATCTATTGAGATAATCATGTGGTTTTTGTTTCTTGTTCTGTTTATGTGATGGATTACGTTTATTCATTTGTATATGTCAAACCAGCCTTGCATCCCAGGGATGAAGCCGACTTCATCGTGTTGGATAAGCTTTTTGATGTGCTGCTGGATTCGGTTTGCCAGTATTTTATTGAGGATTTTTGCATCAATGTTCATCAGGAATATTGGCCTGAAATTTTCCTTTTTTGGTGTCTCTGCCAGGTTTTGGTATCAGGATGATGCTGACCTCATAAAATGAGTTAGGGAGGAGCTCCTCTTTTTCTGTTATTTGGAATAATTTCAGAAGGAATGGTATACCAACTTCTCTTTGTACCTCTGGTAGAATTCGGCTGGAAATCCATCTGGTCCTGGGATTTTTTTGATTGGTAGAATATTAATTACTGCCTCAATTTCAGGACTTGTTATCGGTCTATTTGAGGATTCGACCTCTTCCTGGTTTACTCTTGGGAGGGTGTATGTGTCCAGGAATTTATCCATTTCTTCTAGATTTTCTAGTTTATTTGCATAGGTGTTTATAGTATTCTCTGATGGTAGTTTGTATTTCTGTGGGATCAGTGGTGATATCTCCTTTATCATTTTTTATTGAGTCTATTTGATTCTTCTCTCTTTTCTTTTTTATTAGTCTGGCTAGTGATCTATCTATTTTGTTAATCTTTTCAAAAAACAGCTCCTGGATTCATTGATTTTTTGGAGGGTTTTTCGTGTCTCTATCTCCTTCAGTTCTGCTCTGATCTTAGTTATTTCTTGTCTTCTGCTAGCTTTTGAATTTATTTGCTCTTGCCTCTCTAGTTCTTTTAATTGTGATGTTCGGGTGTTGATTTTAGACCTTTCGTGCTTTTTCCTGTGGGCATTTAGTCCTAAAAATTTCCCTGTAAACACTGCTTTAGCTGTGTGCCAAAGATTCTGGTATGTTGTACCTTTGTTCTCAATTGTTTCAAAGAACTTATTTATTTCTGCCTTAATTTCATTATTTACCAAGCGGTCATTCAGGAGCAGGTTATTCAGTTTCCATGTAGTTATGCAGTTTTGAGTGAGTTTCTGAATGCTGAGTTCTAATTTGATTGCACTGTGATCTGAGAGACTGTTTGTTATGATTCCCATTCTTTTGTATTGGCTGAGGAGTGTTTTACTTCCAATTATGTGCTCAATTTTAGAGTAAGTGTGATGCAGTGCTGAGAAGAATGTATATTCTGTTGATTTCGGGTGGAGAATTCTGTAGAGGTCTATTAGGTCTGCTTGGTCCAGAGCTGAGTTCAAGTCCTGAATATCCTTGTTAATTTTCTGTCTCATTGATCTGTCTAATATTGACAGTGGGGTGTTAAGGTCTCTCACTATTAATGTGTGGGAGTCTAAGTCTCTTTGTAGGTCTTTAATAACTTGCTTTATGAATCTGAGTGCTCCTGTATTGGGTGCATGTATATTTAGGATAGTTAACTCTTCTTGTTGCAGTGATCCCTTTACCATTATGTAATGCCCTTTTTGTCTTTATTGATCGTTGTTGGTTTAAAGTCTGTTTATCAGAGACTAGGATTGCAACGCCTGCTTTTTTTTTTTTTTTTTTTTTTGCTTTCCACTTGCTTGGTAAATAGTCCTCCATCCCTTTATTTTGAGCTTATGTGTATCTTTGCATGTGTGATGGGTCTTCTGAACACAGCACACCGATGGGTTTTGACTATTTATCCAATTTGCCAGTCTGTGTCTTTTAATTGGAGCATTTAGCCCATTCACATTTAAAGTTAATGTTGTTATGTGTGAATTTGATCCTGTCATTATGATGCTAGCTGGTTATTTTGCCCATTAGTTGATGTAATTTCTCCATAGTGTCAATGGTCTTTACAGTTTGATATGTTTTTGTGGTGGCGGGTACCGGTTTTTCCTTTC